AGGTGGTAGAACAAATAGTATTGAGAAAATTAACCGAACCTTCCATACAGAAGAAAGAATAAAACTCAGATATCTCTTAGACTCAGAATTGCATATCTACACTTCAATTGATCATCGGGCCACGATCTTCTGTGAAAATCATCAGAACTATTATCTAACAAAAGTGGCTTCCAAACCAAATACCAAATAAGTGGCAAGAAAACGGTAGAATAGAATGTAGGACGCCCAGGCAATTTCATGTGATACTGAGCTTGTGAAAAAACAGGAAGCTTGGAAGAAAGTTAGGAATAAATCAGTTATCCTACCTTCAGAGAACTCGTTCTGAGGACTAGGTCTGAGAAAGAAAGGAAATGGAAAAAGGAAATGGAAATTTTTTTTATTCATTCTAAAATAGAGAATATAGATTGCAGGAAAGATTAATTTATGTATTTCTTTGTAATATATAATTTAGGGGAACAGGATCTAAGAAAACAAAGATACGAACATACGACCTCTTTGTTTTCATAATGCGTAAAAAAAACATTTTTTCTAAAATTGTAAAAAAAATGTAGCATAAAGATCTATATTTATTGAATAAAAATTGTTATATCTATAGTAAATCTATTGATTTAAGATACATAGAGTTATAAACTTAGATTAAGAAGATGTTTGGGTTGCTAACTCAATGGTAGAGTATTCGGCTTTTAAGTGCGACTTAGGGGTTCAATAAACACAGAGAAAAAAATCTCTATACTACTGATACAGTATATTAAGCCACGGCTAACCTTAAAAGCAAACTTACAAGGGAATATAGCATGCCGTTTGAAGATATCAAGTGATAAATTTGTTCCTAAGTTAATACGATATTGTCCTTCAAGACTTAAAAGATATCGATTAGTTTCGAAAAGAACCTTGATATTAGCAATTTAGTTTATGGAAAATATATAAATCACAAAAAATACTAAAGCGCCGAATGTTTATTTGACCTTTGTCAAATTTCTTAGTTTTTTTTAGGAATTTAAAGACTAAAAAAAAACAGATCTAAGCAAGTATCTGATAATAATGTGAATCCTATAAACTAAATGTGTTGAAAAGAATCACCAGTTTGCTGACTAAAGAGAGAGAAATCTATAAGTCAGGAGAGCAATCATTCAAAAAATTTTCTCCTTTTAACGCATTATAAAAAAAAAAGAGAAAAGTATATTTATATATACTTATAATATTTTCAGGATTGCATTGTGTGTTCAAAAGAAATAAAGATTAGGAGAATGTTAGTGTGACTAACTCAATCAATGTTTTCTCTAGTATAGAGATAAACAAAAAAATTGAAATTGATGAATGGCATAATTCAAAATTATATTCATTTTTTTTTCAAGAAAAATTATACATGATGGTATCACAAAAAAACTTAAGACACGAAGATACCTATAATAATTTTCCAAAAACTAGGAATAGTTTTGTAAAAGCAAAACGTCATATTAATGCAATTCGTCTAGAAGGATATCTTAAAGAGAATTCTTTCTCTTTTAACCAATTCGATAAGAATCTATTATCAAAAAAGAGAAAAAAGTCTTTAAACGAAAAAATCTTTCAATTCATACCAAAGATACTAGATTGTGAAGAACCACAGGATAATTCTCTTGTTCCAAATGAGTTGTTGAAAAAAAAATGGAATACATACAGTTCTATACATTCAGGATTATCTTCTCTTGAAGATAAATGGCAATCTTATGATTCTTTTGTTGAAGGAAAAGTCCCTTCTTTCATACATCCTGAAATATTAGTTCGTATTTTACGTACTCAAATAGAAGACGTATCCTTAATACACTTATTTAGACAAATATTACATAAAAACATTTGTGAAGTAGACAAAAAAAATTCTTTGAACAAGAATTTTCTATCCAGTATATTAGGAAAAATGTTATTGAACTGGTATACATTAGAATACGATAAATTCTTCATATTCCATATATCACATTTGCTATTGCCAAATAACTCTTTAGATCAATCTTCAATGAATGATTTAAGTAGTGCAAAAAAGATTACAATATGGAATTCCAATGTATCTAAAACAAATGTATCTAAAAAAAAGGAAGCAAGTTGTAAAAAAAAAATATATTCAACTTCTTATAAAGAACCCTTTTCTTATGAAAAAAATTCCATTACTTATAAATACATACGTGCAAAAAATATTTGCTTTTTGAATCTACAAAATTCATCAAAAAACAAATCTGTTATAGAACACAGATATCTTAATTTCTTGCAATATCGTATAGGATTTGTATGTAATTCAAATAAACTCAAAACTGTTTTAGTAGAAAGTCCTAGTCTTTTTTTAGGTTTTCTATTACAGTTCAAAATCAAAAACACATTTCTTCGTATACATATATATACTGATCACTTAAGATGTTTGTTTAATAGAAAATCTCTAGTCATATTGAATCCATTACTATGGCTTATGCGAATATTAGCCACATATCGCTTTTGTACTTCTTTTGGGTATCCAATTAGTAAATCAGCA